AGAAAGAAAGAAAGAAAGAAAGAAAGAAAGAAAGAAAGAAAGAAAGGGAAGGAAGGAAGGGAGGAGAGAGAGAGAGGGAAAGAGAGACTATGCGTAAGTCTCTGCATTCAGGCAATATCAGTTCTTTCTCTGGAGGTGGAGAGCATTTTTCACGAGTCCTTTGGGATTGCCTTGAGTCATTGCATTGCTGAGAATAGCCAAATGATTCACAGTTCTTCCTTGTGCAATATCACTGTTACTGTGTACAATTTTCTCCTGGTTCTGTTCACTTCGCTTAATACAAAGTAATTTTGAAGTACATTGATGGCTGGGGGTGTGTGGTTTGGGAAGGGCCTCATGTACTAGATGAGATCTGAACAGGGTTTTGCGAGGAGCTACGAATTATAAAATGGGATGGTAAGGAAGGACTGCTTTCCCGGCATGGGGTATGCCCATGCAGAGGTGTGGAAAAGAGGTGGAAGGATGCAAGTGGGCCAGTTTGATTGAGACCTTGGTATGTGAAAAGAAGCCTATAAATCTGGAAAGATTAGACTGGAGCCAGATCATGATGGGTTTCATTTTTTTTTACATTTAATTTTTTATTTTATTTTATCTCAATTACATATAAACAAAAAAAATTTTAACATTCTTTTTTAAAATTTTGACTTCCAATTCTCTCCTTCCCTCTTTCCCCTAATCCCCTCCTTGAGAAGGCACGCAATTTGGTATAGATTATGCACGTGCAGTCGTGCAAAATGTTTTCATTTTGGCCATGTTGCAAAAGAAAACACAGACCAAAAAAAAAAAACCATGAATAATAAAGTAGAAAAAGTATATGCTTTAATCTGCATTCAGACACCATTCGTTCTTTATCTGAAGGTAGATAGTATTTTTCATCGTACATCCTTCAGAATTGTCCGGATCGCTGTATTGCTGAGAATGGCGAAGTCATTCCCAGCTGATCACCATGCAGTATGGTTGTTCCTGCTTCTGCTCATTTCACTTTGCATCAGTTCCTGTGAGTCTTCACAGGTTTTTCTGAAACCATGCTGCTCATCATTTCTTATAGCACAGTAGGATTCCACCTGACAGGCTCTAAATACTAAAATGGAATTTGTGTTTTCTCTTAGAGGTAATTGGAAGGCACCAGAGCAGGGGTGGTCAACTTGCCGCCTCGAGGCCATATTTGGCCCTCTAGGTCCTCAAGCGCAGCCCTTTGACTGAATCCAAACTTCACAGAACAAATTGCCTTAATTAAATGATTTCTTCTGTAAAATTTGGACTCAGCCAGAAGGGCGCACCCGAGGACCCAGAGGGCCACATGTGGGCTTGAGGCCGCGGATTCCCCACCCTTGCACTAGAGTCTCTAGAGCACGGTAGTGACATGGTCAGACCTATGCTTTAATATCATTTTAGCAGCTATTTGGAGGATAGATTAGAAAGGGGAGAGACTAGAGACAGTGAGACTAGTTAGGAGGCTATTGCAGCAGTCCAGGTGAGAGGCAGAAAGGGTCTCAACTAGGGTGGTGGCTATGGGAGCAGGTGCTTAATACATGCTTACTAAATCGTTATCAAATTTCATGTCATCTGTGTGACCTTGGGAAAGTCACTTAACTCGTCTTTCAGATAAGGGGGTGGGCCTTGTTGCCATATGATGTCGCTTCCAGCTCCAAAATGCTATGATTTTTAAGGATTTTCTAAAACACTGTAAGAGAAAATATGTTAGATTTGTTCTATCCAACTCCAAATTCTGCAGTGCTTTGCTTCCCCTCACAGACGTCTCTTGCTTTTTATTTGGTTAGGTAGGGTTTTCTCCTATTTCTCCTAATTTTCTCTTAATGGCTAAGGTACGTCTCCCATTTCTCACTCCCCAAAAAAGGAGTTTGTAAGCATACTGTGAGCACATAACAGTTCTGACTAAAATAATTTGGCAAAAAAAATAAAATAAAATAAAATAAAATAATTTGGTTGATTTTCTTGTTAGGGCTTATGGAAGCAGGGCAGAGATATCAGAGCAGAGTAATGTAATGTAATG